AATCTTTAATGTGACTCGGGAAGAACGAGTCGTCTCGGGGAGTGATTCGTTCAGTCGCGCATGCGCAACATCCTATATGTGGCAATGCTGAGGGGAGGGGGAGGAGAGTTAATGTACCACTAAGTAAGCACCCCCCTAAACCAAAAGAAAACCGACTACGCCACCCCGTAAAGAAACGAGGAAATAACCACCCAAATCAGGGACACAGGTTCGTAGGCTAAGAAATAACCACCCAAATCAGGGACACAGGTTCGTAGGCTAAGTAAAACCCAAAGAGACGTGTAAACAATGTACAAACGCTTTATTCAAATTGTCACAACAAATTATTAAAACACTCAAGGGCATCAATGTCACGTGTCGGATCACAATTAAACACCATATATCGGCAGCTCTGTATACTACACCAGATAAAGAAACAATTTAAACATACTCACAAAGGAAAACAACCAAATAAACAGGCACAGGCTTTCCAGCAGCAAAGGCAGGCTAGCTGAAGCGAAGATCCTATCTGTACGCTAGTGCATCCCACGCACACACTCACACCCACTCACACAGAGTAAAACGTGAATCCAAACAACACTGCACTCCACACGATTGTACCATCACCAGTATTCACTACCAGCTAGCCTCCCAGCCTCGGGCCCTACTTTGCCTAAAACAAACACAAAAGAAAATTAAACCAAAAAGAAAACGATATGTATAAAGAAATAATATCACAATGTTATATTTACAACAAACAAACAAGAAACAAAATATATAGAGCAGGAAAATAACACAATGTTATTTTAAAGTAAACAAAAGAAAGAAAAGAAACAGGAAAGAAGCACAAAATACAAGAAAATAACAAAAGAAAACAGCAGCACCGTCCTCCTTTAACGCCTTCTCCCGCAACTAACCAGCACAGCGTCAGAGAAAAACCTCAGTGCACTAAAAGAAAGGGGCGATTAATAAAATATCACTTTTCTTGTGAACAAGAGAAAACGGATCGCACCTACCGAAACGGATCGTTGTGCCGCACGAATTGTACCGTTGCTCTCAACTCATAACAAGCATAGAAGCTCATGCAGGAAGACACCTTCACTGAAGAATTTCACAGCTAAGTAGTAAATAAGCACCGGTTAACATCACCCGATGCTAAACGAGCAGCACGTAATACGAGCAGACACATACCTGACATGTAGTAGACAGCCTGCAACCCAACACAATGCATCAAATGGCCATTCCACGCGAATCTATACACGCGTACTCATAGGTGCGGTTCCAGCAGTGACGTACACCAGGTGACATAACTCCAGCCTTAAATACCCGGAAAGACAGTGTGCCGAGGGGGGCGTGGTTTAGCGGAGTCTGCAGCGGGAGAGAGCGGTCGGAGACCAGTGGTGAGTAAGTAGGTCAAGTGCAAAATGACATTCACCTGCTTCTCGTTTCAGTGATTGGCCTGGAGAGACCGTAAAAAGCCTCAGGGGAAGCAGAGAGGGAGAGAGGAGACAGACTGAGGACTCGAGGCCTCAGGGGAAACAGAGAGGGAGAGATGAGACAGACTGAGGACTCGTGGGGGAAAGACTGTGGCCTGGGCCTAGAGAACCGCAGAAGTGCTATATAAGTTTTGTTTGTTTTGCAGCGCCTGAGCGCCTGCCTGTTTTCGCTGTTCCTACGGGAAGTATAATAAATTACCCGAGCCTCAGTCACGCTGACTCCGACTTCTTCCTTCCCTACTAAGAACCTCATTACACTGGTGCCGAAACCCGGGAAGGAAGAAGCCCGGCTGCTGCCATCATGCAGTCACCGCCAAGTTCGCCGTTTGCGGAAGTGATCCAATCGCTCGCCGGCCTCCACCAAGAGCAGCATCAGGCGTTGCTGGAGATGCGGGACGACCAGGAGCGTCGTTTCCGCGCGCTGATGCAGGCGCAACAGGAGGACCGGGAGCTGTTCCGGAGCTGGGTGGACCAGGAGGGTCGGGCAGGAGGGCCGACATCGAGGACCACCGTCGGTCCCTCTCATCTGCCCCTGAACAAAATGGGACCACAGGACGATCCAAAGGCTTTCCTCGACCTCTTTGAGAAGTCGGCCGAGGCGTGTGGGTGGCCACGAGAGCATCGACCTCTTTGAGAAGTCGGCCGAGGCATGTGGGTGGCCACGAGAGCACTGGCCAGTGCGTCTTATACCACTGCTTTCAGGGGAGGCGCAGGTGGCGGCCCAACAACTGCCCACTCAAAACCTCCTGGTCTTCACCGATCTGAAGCGAGCTATCCTGCAGCGGGTCGGCCGGAGCCCAGAACAACATCGCCAGCGGTTTCGCTCGCTGGATCTGGGGGAAAGTGGCCGGCCCTTCGTGTTGGCTCAGCAGCTCCGGGACGCCTGCCGCAAATGGCTGCTGGCCGGGGGGAAGCAACGCCGAGCAGATCCTCGACCGTGTGGTGCTGGAGCAGTTTATCGGCCGTCTCCCGAAGAAGACGGCTGAGTGGGTCCAGTGCCACCGCCCGGCGTCGCTGGACCTGGCCATCCAGTTGGCGGAGGACCAGATGGTGGCGTGCCCAGGAGTCGGCAAATCTCTGCCGGCAGTCTCTCTCTCTCTCTCTTCTCCTAATGTTCCTTCTTCCCCCCGTCCTGTTCCCTTTCCTAGGTCCCGTCCGGGAATCACTCCTCGAGTCCCTCCCCGGGGAAGGGGCGGGCCGCCTCCGGAGTCTGCCGCTGGCCCGAGAGCACCGCCCAGGGGGGCGGGGCTAGCCGGGGCAGGATCCACAGCACTTCCCTTTTTCACGCTCTGTCCACGCCAGTCCCTTGACCCACTTCCTGCCACTAGGGCGGCGGGGAAGTCTGGGCCGGCCTGTTGGCGTTGCGGGGACCCCGGACATTTCATTGACCGGTGCCCGGTGATGGAGGTCGGGGCACTGATCCGGGTCCCGGACGACCCACAGGCTGCCCCCGATCAAGCTGGCCTGTACCAAATACCTGTGAGTATTAAGGGGGGGTACCTATCTCGCTTTGGTGGATTCGGGGTGTAACCAAACCTCGGTCCATCAAAGCCTGATTCAGCTCGAAGCATTGGATAGAAGCCGCATGGTTCCGGTGCGGTGTGTGCACGGGGATGTGGTGGAACATCCTCTAATGTCCGTGCTGATTCAATTTCGGGGTCAAAAACATAGTGTGGAGGTCGCAATTAATCCGCACCTCCGGCATCCGCTAATTTTGGGAACGAATTGGCCAGCCTTTAGTCAATTACTGGGTTGTTTGTGTGCGGTTGTATCTTGTGGAGAGAGAAAGCTGGAGGCCGGAGCGGACGTGCAGGTGGGAGAGGCTGAACCGGGACCACGGGATACTGAGCCGGGGGAACGGAGCGCGAATGAGAGGCTAATCCTCTCTGAACGTGATGATTTCCCCCTGGAACAGTCCCAGGATGAGTCCCTGAAACGGGCATTTGAACAGGTTCAGACCATCGACGGTCAGCCTCTCCATCCCGACCGTCCGCTCTCGTATCCCTATTTTGCTGTTTTAAAGGAGCGGTTGTACCGAGTGACACAAGACACTCAGACAAAGCAGGATACAACCCAATTGTTGGTACCTAAAAGCCGTCGGGAAATGCTTTTCCAGGCGGCTCATTGTAATCCAATGGCGGGACATTTAGGACAGGCAGCGACACTA